TCTAGCATGAGATTTGCAAGAGCAAATCTTTCAGCCAAACAATGTGTTTTTCATATGAAATTTCACTTTAAATCCATTTTTAAGCCATGTTAATGGAATTATCTATTGTGTCCCTAAAGGTCTCTTTCCTCCTTGGATGGTGCTCTCAATGCTAATTAGCAACATTTCTGTTTCAAAGCCAGGGCAATTTGCTTTTGTTTCAGTCTCCATTATTTTAGTTTTCCTCACAGGAGAGCAGGAGATTGATACCAATTCCCACACATGGAAATCTTCACTTGTCTAAATTTCTATACAGGAAGCTTTAGATGTTGCCTAGGAAAAGCATTCCCTTCCTAGATCTCTATAAAGGGCTTTAATTCTGCAGCTGGGCTGCAATATGTGAGTCCTCTGGAGTCCCAGCAGCCTCACTGCAGATCTGAGGGGTTTGGCCCAGTGTGAGGTGGAGCAGGGAGCTGCACATTCCAGGATATCCCATTGCTTTAAAAACACTGGAAGTCTGCAGAGTAATGGGATTTATAACCATATATAACTACCTGCAGGAACAGAATGGAAATCTAATCCTACTGACTGTTACTTGAGCATTACAAAGAACATACAGCCATAAACAGGTTTCACCATTAAGGCTTCCAATATTAAAATTACCTGGCAGGTGATTTTAATAAACGATGGTTCCTGAGAAGATGGGTACACTGGAAGATTTCTCTTCCCAGATTTTAGCAGCTCAGTTAATTCAGAAAGATGGTGCTGCAGTTCTGTGAAATTACCAGACAATTTTTCCACATTTCTCAAAAAGTAACTCGCCTCCTTCTCACTGAAGAGGTTATTCTTGTAAGAAGTGGATATTTTGGAAGGTGCCTCATGCTGCTTTTTTGGGGATGTTGGCCTGTTTGAAGCATTAGACAGTGCCACGCTCCGATTAACTGGCTCAGCATCCAGAGTCTTGACAGCTGGAGGAAAATTCATGGAAATCTTTTTCTCTTTGAAGTCGCTGATGTTCAACACCAAGTTTTGCTCATAAGCAGGACTCTTGATTTCTTCAATGAGCTTCCTTCGGCTTGTGGGGGACTGGAGGGCAGAGCGATCTGGAATCAGGAGCCCACGGCTGAGTGGGTGGACATCTCTAGAGGGATCATGAGTAACACTGGAAAGGTTCAAACTGGAGCTGCCATCAGCTGACACAGCCTTTGAAGGACATATTTCAAGTATCAGTTCTTTAATCATCAATCGGATCATGTATTTGTCTGATCTTGAGGAAGGAAGAAAAGCAGGGTCAGAGAATTTTTGTCTTCCAACCAATATCAGTAACAATTTATTGGTCAAGAAGCATAACCCCTTCGGCTTCTCGCTTTTCTCTAGCTGAATTTGTTGAATATTGGGTAAATTGGATGAAGTCAGTGAATAGACTAAAATAACATTACAAGTATTGGAGGCAACAGATACAGTTTGAGTTTTGGAGTCAAAAGCCATTATATCAGGAACAAGAATGCCTGGGATGCTCACTTTTTTAGTAGTGGTAACCTTTCTTTCAAAAGTCACCAAGATGAGGTGTGAGGAATCCTGGCCACTTCCCGTCAGGTAGTCCTTGGGCCTCAGGTGAAGGAGAGGGCTGGAATCAGCACTCTGCTTGCTAGAAAGTATGTGAGTTAGATCCACAGGAGATGTAACTACAGACAAGGGCTTCTCAGACTCCAGTGACTTCTTCCCCCCATCCAAAGAATACTCTTCCTCCCCACACAAGCTGGACTGCGAGGGGAAGGACTCAGTTTCAACGCTCGATGGAACTTCGAAGGCAACACCAGCATTTAAGCCACAAATCTTGTCCAGAGGGAGCTCGGTGGCAACAGCAACTTGTAAATTCTGCGTGGCTTCCACGGCGCAGATGTAGCCTCCCACATCAAAGATCGGGCAAAAAGAGCAAGCGCTGAGTGTTTTCTGAGCATCGTCCCAAATGTAGGAATGGAGGGCACTGCCCACCCCCACAACCAGGCGGTTGCCTTCCTTGGTCCAACAGGCGCAGTGGATGAGCCCGCTGCCCTTGATGTCCGCGTTAATTCTGGAGTTGTCGAGGTGGACAGAGGGCAGCACAGAGGCGTCCCGGGTGGTCAGCACGGCCAAGACCTCCTTGCTGGGATGCCACACGCAGCCCTGGGGGAGCACGGGGTAGGGCTCGCTGATGTCGCACACCTGGGAAACCAGGAGCTTGTTCCTGTCGGCGCCGTTGAAGCAGAGCTGCCAGATGGTGATGTGCTTCTTGTGCTGCACGGCCAGCAGGGCCGGCGCCTCGGCGGGACAGGGGCCCCAGTAGAGCCCATGCACGTGCTCAAACTGCCCCACCACGCTGGAGTCGCCGAAGGCGGGCTCCCCGTTGTGCAGGTGCAGCGCGGTCAGGATCACCTGCTTGCCGTCCGTCCAGGCCAGCCCGTGCACTGGGTGGATGGCCTGGTGCAAGGCGTTGAGGCCGGTGCGCAGGAGCTTCGCCTTTCCCAGCTCCATGGCTTTCAAAGTGGAACATCTACACAGACAGAATGAGAAGGAAAAATAAATTATTCTAGAGGACAGTACCTGGATGATTACTTAGCTTATGACCCTGCCAGTGCTGGACTCTTCCTTCCAGTGAAGTCAATATAAACACAATGTTCACCTACGCTTAATTCACAGCCCAGTAATTTTTCGTTTATGATGTTTCCACTATGAAATGCAATTTTAAGAGAAAGAAACTTTTCTGTTTTCTATAGGCTTACCGTCAGATTTCTGCTGCATTTTCATCACAAGACCAGTCCTTTCATTCTAATCAGTAACTTGCTGTTCTCAGAATATTTTCTATTTACTTCAATATCAACAATTCTCAAAATATTGCTGCTCACTCTCAACTTCCCGGAGCACTTGTGGTCAGATAAAGTCACCCCTTGCAAGTATAACCAAGCATTAATGTATTATCTACAAATCTGATCCTGTATTAAGCATGTGAGAATGAGGCATTTGGATGGTTATCCCAGAAAGCTGTCTAAGAAAGTAAATGCAATTTTGAAGAGAATTAGGATGAGAGCAGATTTTTCTGAGGAAATGAAAGAAAAAAGAATTTAAAAGAAGGCATACACAAGGCATCAACACTTGGGAAAACTTCAGGATTTTACACTAACTTCTAGTTTTTGAGCTGTGAGCAATCCCTACTCCATGCACAAAAGCCAGTTCAAAGGAATTGATGGTTTCCTAATTTCAGATCTCCACAAAATTTGGCTCAGATGTAAAGCCATGGCACAGAATGAGTTGCAGTTTTAGTAAGAAACACAAAGAACAAGAAGAAAGTTGTTTGAGACTAAAAACTGTCGAACTGGAAAAGTTTATCACAATGTGCAGGGCTTTGGCACCACTCAGTATTTTAATTATTTGTGGATGAACCTAAACTCGTAGGAAGAGGATTGCAAGAATGGATTTCAAATATAAAAATTGTATAGAAAGTTATGTTATTATGACCAAAGTAACATCTTCTCAACCTAATAACAAGTACAAACAATATACTTAGTAAAAAAAACCCAAAACCTGCCAACTTGGATACATCTCCAGGAATAATTTCCTAGGTAGAGGTATAGCAAAAAAGGATGTGGCTTACAATGAGTCACAAGCTGAATACTTCAGTAATGTGAGATATTTTGCAAAGTAAGAATAATTCATTCTGGAATGTTTTAAGAGGGATGGAGATACACAAGGAAGATAATTGCCCTACTTCCTCATTGCTAACAGCACCTCCACTGAACCTACTTCTGAGTTCAAGATGATAGAAATGCCCAACAAGGCTAAGGGATCAGAGAAACACAGGAGATGGGTTCTCTGTCTGGAGAAGATTGTGAGTGGGAACCAGAGAACATTCACCAGCCCAGTGACAGAACATCCATCCACTGGTCTCCAGGTATACTCTGGACAGGGCATGATAATAATCAGCTTAGTTTCAACAAAGATTTAGGTCAGCTATTAAGGAAAAATTCTGACTATATGTGACAGCTAAGCATTGAAGCAGGTTACCTTGGAGAGGAGGGGAAAGTACTCCATGAATTTCATAATCTGTACGAGCCAATTAAGGAAATGTCTGTCAGGGATAAGTTTAAGTACACTGAATCCTGCCTCACAGGAGAGTACTCAAGATACTTCCAGTGCAACTTCTCCACCATTTACCCGGCCTCTCCTCCATAACCAAACTCAGTCATGTTAAGCAATGACCAGTTCCAGGAAAATTAACACTGGATGTTCCCTGTGCTCAGAACCCACACTGCTGGGCAATACTTACTGATGGCAGGGAGATGCGAGATAATGTGCCTCACAAGGCACTGAAAGATGCTAAAGCCTCCTGGGCCGTCTGGAGAGGTTCCTGTGTCACAACGGGCGTTTTCACTATCCCAGCTGCCCTGGAAAAGCAAAAAGAGCAAGAGTGACCAGTGCATTCCTGTGCCCAAAGCCACACCGCCTCCTGCAGCGCCCGGCCCGGCCGCGGCTCCCCGGGCAGGTGTCACACTACAGCCGGGTGTCGGCGAAACGCGGTGCCCGTCCCACTCCCAGGAACAGAGGAGCCGCTGCAGGGACCCCCCTGCACGGAGCGGCCAGGGCAGCGGCGGGCCGGGAGCCCGCACAAACCTCCCGCCTGCGCCGCCGCTGCCTGCGCGGGCCCGCCCGCCCCGCTCCTCCCCGCCTCCCGCCGGCCCGCCCGTCGCCTCTCCGCCCCGCCGCGGCCACGCTCACCCGCCCTGCCGGCGGCCCGGCCTGGCTCCGCTGAGGCGGCCCCGGGCCCTGCAGCCCCGGCGGCGCTGGGCTGTGGCGGGCACCGCCTTCCCGCAGGACCCGGCCCGCCCCTCCTGCACCGCCCGGCCCAGCTCCGCCCGGCCGCGGGGGGCGCCGGCACCACTCCACCCGCCCGGCCGCTCTGCGACGGCGGCGGCGCTCTATGGCTCCGCGGGCGGGGCCTGCACGGGGCGGGCGCCTCGCACCGGTGCCGCCTCCGATCCCCACAGCGCCCCTGAGGGGCCGCGGGCGCTGAGCGGGCGGCGGGAGGTGATGGGGACTCACAAATCAGAGAATGTCCGCAGCTGGGAGGCACCCAGGAAGACCATCGAGATCAGCTCTTGTGCGCAGCGCACCGCATGAATCGCACCGTGTGCCTGAGAACGCTTCCTCAGCTCAGGCTTGGTGCTCGGACCGCTGCTCTGCGGAGCCTGTTCCAGTGGGCAGCCACCCTCTGGGTGCAGAGCGCTTTCCTGATATCCAGTGTAAACCTCCCCTGATGCATCTTCATGCCATTCTCCCGGCTCCTGTCAATGCTTGCCAGGGGGATCAGTGTCTGCCCCTCTGCCGGCCCTCATGAGGATGTTGAAGATCACAATGAGATGTCCCCTCAGTCTCCTCCAGGTTGGACAAACCATGTGACCTCAGCTGCTCCTCATAAGACTTTCCTTCCATACCCTTGCCATCCTTGTGGCCCTCCTTCAGATGTTCTTTTTATATTGTGGCGCTCAGAACTGCACATGGAACTCGAGGTGCGGCCACACCAGAGCAGAACAGAGAAGGACAGTGCCCTCCCGTGACCAGGTCAGTGCTGTGCCTGATGCACCCCCGAGCATGGCTGGCATCCAGCAAAGCATCACCTGCCAGGCTAAGGAGGTGATTGTCCTGCTTTTGTCATTTCCATTGTCCCCAGGGGTCATCCACGGTGTGACACTTCCACACAGGACCCACAGCCTGCTCACAGCGGTATGGCTCCTGGAGAGGCCTGAGGAAGTGGCACAGAAGAGCAGAGATGCCTCCAGAGCGAGAACATCCGGGCCCTGGTGTTATGTATCCCACCCCATGAGGTGGTCACACTGAAGTGAGAAGCCATCTAAATTCAATGCAGAACTACTGCAATACAACCTACCTGGTCCTGATTTATTGTTTTGAGCATAGCTCTTTGTAAGTCTCTGAGGCTCTTAAAAAAGTTAATTATATTGTGTGACTGTGCCACTTTGCCACTCCTCAGCACTGCAGAGCAGTGTACCAGATCATTGTACCAGTTTTGAAACCCACACTCCTGCTAGGATGCTGGAGCACTGGAAAAGGTGCCATAAAAAGAGCTGCCAAAGGTGTGGGAAAAACAAAATGCTTAAAATAGTTGCAAGGTCAAATATGTAAGTAGCTCCAACTTGGCAAAAGAAGAACACTAGGTGGTGACTTGGCCATATAGCATGAGTGCCTGTACAGAGGGGAAACAACAGCACAAAAAAGCTCTGAAGTTAATGAAGGAAGGTTTAACACAGAACTGTGGACAGATTCAAATATGTAAGACACATCTGTGAGTCTGACTGACCAAACTGCCATCAGACCATCTTCACATTAAAACTTGGTAATTTTCAGAGATATACAATTTTAAATAGTAAGTCATAGAATGGTTTGGGTTGGAAGGGACCCCAAAGATCATCTCATTCCAACTCCCTGCAGCAGGTAGGGAGACCTTGCACTAGACCAGGTTTCTCAGCCCCATAACAGCCTGGCCTTGAAACCATTTGGCAAAAGACATTCCCACCTCCCTCTTCCCCATCACTGGCTTACCTGAACGGCTCAGTCAAGCCAATTTCCCAAGAAGTTCTGTTACACAAATGTGTAATCTGTTCTTACCTTCATAATTTTCATTACATTTTCCTCAGTGGTGAGTCTGACCAAGCAGGATTGTCCCTTGGTGTCTGGGACCCTGAGCCACCAGCTGGCTTTATTAGACAAAAACAGTTTTCTGACTATAATTTTAGTCTCACAAAGAATTCTGTTGAACAGCAATGATTTCACTATTTTTTAAATATAAAACTTAAATTGACCATTCATATTAATAAACAGAAATAAATATTTAAACCACAGAGACCACAGTTTAAGAATACCTCAGAGACATTTTCATGGTAAATGTCTATTTTTGTTTCCTATGCATATAATTATATAATTAAGTACTTTTAAAGACTTATTTTCATCATGTAACTTGTGTTATATGTAAACTGCTAATAGAGTTCAACAAATGAACTGAAAATATCACAAAGCTCAGAGTTAGTTGAAAATCTGCAAAATAATATTTCCATTGAAACGGAATTGACTCAACCTATGAGAGTGCCAGAATGGTGTGCAGGTAGTTATTATTACACCAGTTGTTTATTTCCATGCCCTACAGTGTGTGTCCTATTTGTGTAACCACAGCCTGGTTATTTTGACATGTAGAACAGCATGAAAAAGGCTGGAGGCTGCTTGGCCAGCAGCCATGAGCCATGGCTGGTCACACAGCCACAATATGCATAGGCACAGTGGTTGTTCCTCAGCAGCTGTACTACAAATAAATATCTTTGGTTTTCTTTCTTTCTTTTCCAGACTTTCCAAGCTGTTCACTGCTGATACATACAATGTGGCTGTGACTTTGGGGGTTATAACAACCTAGAACCCCCTGGGGTAAGTCTGTAAGGTAGAAAATGGCTCAATGAAATTATGCAAGGAAGTGTTTTTAAAAGGCTGAAATTAGAGAAATCATTTCCTGTGGTCATGCTCATTTAAAGCACACATCTTGGCTTTTAAAAACATGTGATTGCATTGAGTCAGGCTTATCCTTAAACACTGAGCAGACTCACAAATCTATTCTCAAGCCCTGCATGGAGAGCAGATTTGCCTTCTCATAACCTAATTTGTTGTATCATTTGGGTGTCTGCTTTTCGAATTAGTTGAAACACAACATTAATAAGAATATAGGAGAGTCAGAGACAGAAGAGTTATGAATACCTTCTGGAGGGAGGGAATGGCAGGGAAGGAAGGTGAAATGGTTGTGATGAGATACATAGAGTTGCTGGATTTGCTATCTAGATTTTTTCTTTGCTCTTACTGAACTTGTACACATGTAAAGAACATAATGTTACAAGGGAAAAGAAAAATTTAAAGATAGTTTCTCTTAGCTTCATAAGCATAAATTTAAAACATAAATATATTTAATCTAGTCTATGGACACTACTGAATGAGCAAATTGATCTCATAATTGTATTTCTTAATGGGAAAACTTAATGAGGCACAACCATGTAATTTAGACCTCTAAAATATGATATGGTAAAGCCTAGGATCAGCAGCTAAAAGATACAGATGTTTTATGTGTTTTTTATTATCAGGTTAAAAATTTTTCTTCTTCATTCTGGGAGCTGATTAGTAATGAAAATAATATAAGATGAGCAATTTTGCAGAAAATTGCCTCATTCTGAGTCAATATCATGTTGTCAGAAGAAGCCAGACAGTGCTGGGGGGTGTGTGAACAGCATCATTGTATTGTGTCTGCTCGGCTTGGCTGAGTACAGCCAGACGGGGTCACAGGATTTCCACAGCACAGGAAAAAATGAATTTTGTGCTCTGTAGCATGAAGTCTTGCAGGGGATTCCTTGTGGCTCCCTGCTTTGAGGAATGGAGAGGATCCGTGCAAATTTTGGTGGTTAGAACAGTGACAGGGTGGGAATTGCTGCTTTTCTCTGCAGCTGTAGCTACCACACCTCTCCTAAAGCAGCTACCGTACAGGTCACCTGAAGCCTGCCCTAGCAGGTCGTACTGCACAGGTACAACACTTTGCTGGTTGTTGTAGAGACAAAGGAGACTCAGAATGTTGTGTATATTCGTTTTTAAACAGTTGGTTGTTTCCTACACGGGGAAGAAGGCATGGGAAATGTACAAAACTCACACAGGAATGTTTATCACCCCCTGCAGTGGTTCACGCTGTGACAGCCTATTTTTTCTGTGCGTAACAACCTGCACCACTGCTTTTCAGTGTCTGAAACAGGCCTTCAGCTGAGTTCTGCCCACTCTGTTGCAGTTCAGGAAAGACAATGCACGCTGGCATAGGGCAGAGAAATGAGATCCAGGATGGATGTCTGTGAGAGGAGCTGAAGAGTGGTGTTGCATAGAGAAAAGGAAACTCAAGGGAGACCTAGTGGACAGAAAAGTTTTCAAGTATTTAACAGACAGCTGCCCCAAACAAGGATCCAAACTGTGAATAGTCAAAACAGACCCTCCAGACCTGGAGTAAAGACCCTGCAATAAAGCTCTATGCCAATCTAATACTCTTGTGCTGCTGTGGAAGTACTACAAAGTAAAAATCAGTCTTGTGGCTTCTCAGTTTGTTGTATAAATAACACACAAAACCAGAGCAGCATAATGTATGTTGAAAATAAGATATCCTCTTAAGAGTCTTTCCATTTTAAAATTGAGTTGTGTAAATCAGCCCTGTTGTAAACAAGGATTTTTGATATGACAGTGTTCCTTTGGAATAATCTTTGCAAGGGCATTTCCAGGCATACATCTTCAGAGCAAACAGTATCTTCTTTTAAATTACACATCCTTGTAACTGAGTTGAATCCAGAACCAAGCTGATACACAAATCACATAATTACAGATACTTAACAATATCTTGTGAAAGGGATTGTTCAAATCTTAATCTTTCTGGTAGGCATCTGGATTCCCTTTCCCTTGTGCCACCATATATACACATCTTTTCTCCTTCTCTGTAAATGTTGCTGTGAGAACCCTTCCTTGTGCCTGTAAACAATTCAGTCCTAGATACTTCTGTCTCCTGCAGATAAATTTTCCATTTTCCTTTTATGTAACTAATCTGCAAAAGTACTTCTTTGATCTTTGCTGCTGCTTGGGTTAATCCTGCATTTCTGGCACACTGTTGTCATGCACAGTTTTCTTTTATGCTATTAAGAGGTTCAAGTGTTTTGAGATAACAGTGTATCAATGAAGATCAGCGTCACTACATTTTGTGCTGATAACAGTATCATTGATATCTAAATAAAATGTTAATGAGGAAAGGTAGACGTGGAAATGGAGATGACAGCTGTGTACAAGTTACATGAGCATAAGAATATTTACAAACTGAATGAAATCGTGACTTGCTTGAAGTTCAAGGGAAACTTTGACAGTGCTTTGCAGTGGAGCCAGTATTCTGACTTTTCTTCTTTTGACTTAGGTGAACTAAGTTTCTGAGGCAAAGATAGCAAGGGAAGCAATTAGCATTACACAAATTAGACGGTATTATGCTGTCTGAGGTAGGAAACGTAATAAATGCTATGAGTCATATTGAAAATGCTCTGAAGTATTACAATTAAAAAGAAATTTATTGATATTTAGAGAGACATGGAATTCACTGACAGATAAAAGGAATGAGCTATGATGGCAGGAGGCATGTTAGTATTTGTTGGTCTGCCTTCTCTGATGGCACAACTGTGCAGCTGAACTGTGGGTTGGATTGAGAAATGGATCCACTTTAAAAGTGTTTTGGTTGGTATTTTTAACCCCATAAATGTTTGGGTCTGTGTGTTTCCATTCAGTGACTGCAGGATGAATGAAGAGGGGTCCAATGGAGAATGAGAAGTCCTATCCTATCGCTGGTATTGCTTTGGAAAACTTCACCTCCTGCTAAATTTCCATAAGGGCATCAGACCTTTTCTTACACAGCAAAAGTTTATTTTTTGATGGCTAAAATTAGTAAATCATTGTGAATTTTGTAATATTTTGATAAAATAATGTTTGAGAACTGTGTCTTTCTATACTGCCTTTTATGTTTTTTAAATTTATTAAGTGTGTTTGACAGGAAAGAAGTGACTGTTGCCTTTGAAGTGACCTAAAGGTTTGCATTTGCCCGGAGTTTGTTTGGTTTTGTCTGTAGGGTCATCCTGTGGTGTTTGGATGCTCTCCTGGCAGTGTGCTGCCTTGGCTGGTAAGATGCCATGGTACCTGCACAGGAGGGGTGGATCCTTCCCACTTTGGAGACTCAAATGAGGGGTACACCAATGTCATTAGCTGAGGGATAATGGCAGCTCCCTCCTTATCAATTAGATAATAACACTGTCAGGAACTACTGAACCTCAGCAAAGTGAGTTTGCGTTTGACATCAAGACTGTGAAATTGCCTCAGTCTGTTAAAAAAATGAAACCATAACATTGATTAATTAACATATATATAAATATATAAAATTACTATTAACATTAAACCACTAATACATAAATTAATTTCAGCTGTGTGTGACAATGGAAAATAATACTAGCATATGTGAAATTTCATAACTCCTGGGATTTACCTTGCCTAACCTCATGTGCTTTAAAGTCAGGCCAGATGAGTTCAGCTCTAAAGGATGGGTTAGTGCTACCAGGTATTGTATGTTGGGTTTTTTAAGAAGTTAGACAAACATCTGACAGGAGTTACTTCAGAATAATTGGCACTGTTTTGGGTTAGAGAGATAGTCTTTTCAGCTACATTTTGGGTGGGAAAATGGTCCAGGGCTTGTGGTTTTCTGTTAAGGCAGGAAAACCTGAAAGTAAAAATAGCTAAAAATAAGTTCATCATCCAAGCTTGGAAATACAGAGGAAAATGAGAATCAGGGGAAAGGAAGTTAGGCTTGATGATACTGTTGATACTATTTCAGTGATTGAAAATATATTAAAGAAATTCACATGAGTATAGAAAATACTATTCTAGTGTAATAGAGGGAAGAATGGAAGAACTAGTTGAGGGTAATGCAGGGCCTCCTTTATACACTTCCTGCTGTGATATCTCACTTTTTAGCTACTATAAAGAATAACGAAATAATATTTCCTTGTGCATAGTCAGCATCATAATTTGGCCAGCAGAATTTCAGACTACTTTGATTTTGCTGGGTTTCATTTGTATATTGTTTTATTATTGTTCTCATGCAACCATTTTAAAAATCAAAAAAAGAAAAAGTCCATGTGGAATACAGAACTTTTGTCGTTAGCACTTTCTCAAGAAGTGGGCCAGTACAAAAAAAAAAAAAACATGAAAAGAAAGCAGACTGTTGCATGCAACTTATGGAAAGTGTAAGGTGAGTTTTAACTTTGAAGCAAATTATACTTTTAAGTAAAGCTGTAGCAACTCCTAAAAATATACTGGGATGCATATAAATGTGCTGGCTAAAGATGCAGAGTAATTAAAATGGAAATTTAGACTTTGTGGTATGTTGTTTATTCCCCACAGGGGAAATGTTTTGGAGGAGCTGGTACCCCATTTAGACTTCTGAGTGCCACTGGTTTGGTGTACTGAGTGTTGTCATTCTGCTTCCACTTCTAATTTAAGCTCCTAGTCTTCCTGGCTTTCCTCTGGTTTAATTACAGACTTCAGACTTCCCTGCTGGGTGGCTCTGGACACGAGCTTAACACCAGTAGTCTCCTTATTCTTCCATAGGGCACTGTCCTTTCTGGTGACTGCCTACTCTGGTGACTGTCCTTTCTGCTGGTGAAAAAAGGAGCTAAAAGACAGGGTTGGTGCTTCATGACATTTGAATGATCTGAACAACTCCCCTTTCCTACACTGATCAATTTTGGTCCTGTAAAATAGCATTTGGGGAGGATGGTGAAGGCTTCTCAGTCTGTGCTTTTATCCTTTTCACAATCCCCTCTCTGCTCAAC